CTAAAATAGAATTCTCCCACAGAGAAAAACTAAATCAATACAACTATCGACAGTGAAGTCATATAAAAAGGGACTTTCTTTTCAACATTTATACGGAACAACAGATTGCATTGTTTTCACAAGTGTACGAGACTTCATAAATCATCCGTGCCCTGCTGCACTAGCCCAACCTTCCCGTCAAAGTAACACAAAGTACTCATTTCTTCTTTAGTCAGTGACAGAACAAATACAGCCTGGAACAACTATTGGTAGTGTCTGTACTTAGCAAATCACATTGCTAAAACAAATAAACAAGCAGATCATACACAATTATTGTATTAGACAACAAGAAAGATCGATGTATTTTAGCGGCTTGGGGGACTTTTGTTCCCTTCAAGCTCCGATAATCAGGGGTTGATCGTCGATTTTCACTGAGAGAGTGATCACCGACTGTTACGGTGAATGGGTCGTCGCGTGGCGGTAGAATCGATCACAGCTTGTGTATTGTATATCAGGGTGGAAACTATCATATCCATCATGTATCACCCTAGACTGAGGGGTTGATATATCGGCTGCTACTCGTATCCGCCAGGCACTTCGTGAGTTGAGAGTGTTATCGTGAAAAGAACCCATATCAACTTTTCAACTCACGAAACACTTTTTTTTTCTCTCGCATGAATGGTTCATTCACTCATATATGCACATTATGTTGTACTAATTCGTTGACTATTTCCAACTTTGGGCCACCGTACCCATTTTACGTGAAAAAAACTGTTGGACCATGGAACCACTGTAAAAATAGTGTGTAGACCAAGTCTTTTGATTATCATGACGAATACAGCGCGCCCACATTGCGTTGTTTTCAAGGCTGTTTTACTATTGCAAATTTAACTGTACCACGTGTATATATTGTATAATGAGCAGGAAAACAGTCATTAGCCCAATGAATTCGAACTTGATTGTAGTACATGACAAGCGAGGTTGACACACCTTTTCCCGATCTATGATTATTAATGCAACACATTTTGTGATAATCCAAACCGTTTTTGAATCCGACTTTAATATTGTAAATTAGAAGAATAATACATTTCCGTCGACAAGTTCTATACATCAAATGGTCTATCCCGAATTTCCCATGAGTTAACCTAATAAACGAACCCATTTTCAAAGTACCCTATATACATACTAATATGTTACATGGTTGGCAAAATTGTCATCGTCCAACTTTCGACAGCTTACTCTCCCCCGGTGGCTATGTTGAATTTAATTCTTCGTTATCCGTGAAACGAGCACGATTTAGTATACGAAACACAACGTAAAATAAAAAAAAAAACCTCAGTACCTGTAATATAATCTGTCTATCAATTACAGTGGCAAAATACCAGTACCGAACTATTGTGATTGGGCATTGCCATCCGCAGCTGCTTCTTTCAGTTATTTCGCTCTCCCTAATCAACTATCGCTTTAAAATTCACCATAGCATGTACTAGCCTTGTTCGTGACAGTAGACGTAACAAACATGAATTGCGTTGACACCGTGCTGTTTGACCACGAATTGTAAAGATCATTCAAAAGTCATACCACTAGTCGCCACGGTAATTGAAAGTATTAATTCGCTCAGTGACTTAAACACGAGTCCTTGACATCGAGTATTTACGGCGTATTTTATGTGGACCAGTCCTTACCAATGTGATTTTCTGCAATGTACACCACACCGTGTAAAATATATTCTTTTTAAATATATCCAACCCTTACCGATACGTTCTCTATGTACTTACGTTTGTTGTTTTTCTTGCCTCGCCTAACGCGAGCTCGACAAAGGAACGCCATGTTGAATTTCTGACTGACATGACACTGATGAATTATTCATAGGGCTTATCGAGGCATGGCTGCGCAAGAGAGGCATCGACCTCTAACGTTTCGAGGATGCCCGTGTTGAAGCGCCCCTGTCCGCATCGGGCATGATAGCATGATTGTTATAAGCCGTGTTATGTTTGGGCTGAAGATCTAAAACCGTGACCAAACAAGCATTGATCGGTGTAAAATAGTATACCGAAGTATTCAAAGCATGTTGGTCATTTTCTGTACGGAAAAGAGCAGCAGTTGAATGTTATTGCAAGATATACTCTTCGATTAGTGTGGGGTTCATGTTTAATTTACGATGTAATGCCTTGACATTATATTATGAATTATAATTTGATGTTATTGTAATGTGATGAGGTTTGATATGGTAGGTATGGTATGGTATAATGTCCAATGGTATGATATATGATATTGCACGGCAAAACTTCACCAATTGACGTTGAAACTCAATAGTTTTTTAGCAAACTATTGCACTGCAAACCTCGGGCATTTCATGGCAACACTAATTCTATAAAATGTGTCATTATATATACGCTGCATATACATTATATACTGTATGCTAGCGAGATACATTGAGCACATATCATTATACGCTGTAAATACATCTTTATACACAGATGGTAGATCAATATACACTGATCATATATTATTCTACGTTGCATATAAACCATTATACCCTGGTGATACAATATTATACACTGAGTATATACATTATACGCAGTATATTCATCGTTACACTACGGGGGTAGATCAATATACACTGATCATATATTATTCTACGTTGCATATACACCATTATACTCTGGTGATACAGTATTATACACTGAGCATATACATTATACGCTGTATATTCATCGTCACACTATGGTGGTAGATCAATATACACTGATCATATATTATTCTACGTTGCATATAAACCATTATACCCTGGTGATACAGTAGTATATACTGAGCATATACATTATACGCAGTATACACATCGTTATATTCCGGTGGTAGATTATATTATGATGCATACACGCCAATTTTCTCTGCACTTACATTAGTATCTTATATCTGACATCAATCTTTGTTTTATATCAATGCACCTATTCTTGGGCGGACATCCGGGCATTTTCACTGCCTGGCAACCATCAATGTAAAAACAAAGGCCGAAAACTCACAGACTCAGGGACAGTTGTTGAGACACTCCTAAACAGTGTAACTATATTCCCCCTACATGTGCAATATATATAAATTTGGTTGCTCAGGATTAATTCAAAGTTGAGTTTGTGCTGTTTTCTCAACTTCAGCTGTTTTCACCGGCTCTTCGCTTGGCGTTCTTCGTTTTTCAGCAGCTCACGCAGATCCCATAGAAATACGTGGTACAGTGGTGCGCGTCTTAGCAACGTGAAACATCTTGTGACGTAGCTCCGCCCCCGAGAATAACTTTTTTAAAGCACAGTTCCTTCATACTGAGGTGTTGAGGGACTGTGTTTAAAGGTATACTTGGCAGTATTTTAATCAAGACCAGGTTTTATATTTTTACATAGTGTGATCACAACGTGAGTCATGTTAATTACTATAGCAAACCAGGTATTGCAATATTATAAAAAAAATTAAAATTCTATCATTTATAATGAAAAAAAAGTGTTTCATAAATTATATTTTGTTAAACTTAACTTTGCTAGGTAAATTTCATATTTTATTTCAATTTCTCACGGCAGTCACTTAACATTGCAGTCGATGACGTCATTTTTTGAATGCACTGCCCCATAAAAATGCACTTTTTGCTATATTATTAAGAGTGAGTTATAATATTTACACTCCGCACCAAATTGATATATTAAGCATAAACAAGATAATTTAATTTTGACAAAAACATACTGCTCAGAGCGTCTGGATAGAAACTGTCGAAAATATACCAATACAGTACCATCGGGAACTTACATAATACACCGCCGATAGGGTCAGTTTTTTACTGTTTTAGACTTATAGTTTCGAAAGAATCTCTGTTCAGCACATGCAGCAAGAAGCGTTCTTCAAGCTTAAATCACTATAATTTAATTTAATTCCTTAGAGAATAAATAAGTACAAAAGGAATTTGTGTCTGGCGGTGTCGACGAAACATATTCTACATTTTATTGTTGTTCATTTGTTTTTTAGGATTGTATATTCGTCTACTTCGTCATAACTTCATTCCACTACAACCAATTTATTGATTATTTGTCTCTGTTTTTGACGGGATCTCGGGTGAGAAGTCTGTAAGAACTTGACATATTGCTATGTATCAGCTGGGTACCTCATTGTAATTGTCGGAAACATCATTCCTGGTGGTATCATCAAATAAATAGAATAATCATATTCATGTTTCATAGTACAATGTGGTTGAGATAAACATCTGTATCTCCGCGGTGTATATCATTTTCGTTTCTTTCCAGTACCAGCAATCACATCACACGAAACGTCGGTAAAGTTGAACGTCTGAAGGTAATATGGGAAGTCGGTAAAGTTGAGGGAAACTTAAAGTCGTGTGGAAAGTCAGTAAAGTTGTGTGGAAAGTCAGTAAAGTTGTGTGGAAAGTCAGTAAAGTCGTGTGGAAAGTCAGTAAAGTTGTGTGGAAAGTCAGTAAAGTCGTGTGGAGAGTCAGTAAAGTTGTTTGAAGAGTCAGTAAAGTTGTGTGGAGAGTCAGTAAATTTGTGTGGAACGTTTGTAGATTTGCGTCACGTACAGAGTCGGTAAAGCTCAAAGTCAAAATAGTATAGTCGAATTCGATAAAGTTGCATGGAAAGTAGTTCTAAGCCCGAATTTTAAAAATAATCTTAGCCTAGAACACGCATTACCATGACATTGCCTGTCACAATGTACAGCAAGGACATGCAACAATTTGAAGATGTCGTCACCCCAGCAACCAATGATAAAAATAATACAAAACATTCAAAATTTAATAATTTGTGAATCGATGAATATTCTACCTTACTGCTCGTTGATCGTCGCGTCGCATCGCGTCGTATTCAAGATGAGACTCATAGCGACGTATACATCGCGTGTAAAATACATTGTTTATTTACATGAAATTCGAACACGCGCTGCGCGACGACCACTACCCTTTA